TGGAAATTAGTTTCGGTTATTTAAAACTAGTTTCAGTTTCGGTTTTTGGGGCAAAAGAGTTTCGGGCAGCATCATTATTTGTAATATTATATGAATTCTAATAAAGGAACAGAAGCACGGCCTCGCTTTTAAAAACAAAAAAAAAAAAAAAAAGCTTTTTTATTAATCAATGATTATATGTATATAAATTAATCGAATAAATAATTATATCTTTTACTTTTAATTAGTTTCGTTTTGAAAATGTCAACCCAAGAAGAATATCTATTTATTTTAAGAGAAACTTTTAACAATTTAATCAAAAAATATCTAGAAAGCAAATCATTAAATAGACATTGCAAAACCTTTATTTTACAAACTGATTATGATCTAATTATTTCAATACTTTGTGAGCCTAATAATGTAAACTTAGAAACCTCTAAAGATCAACATTGGATTAAAAATTCTTTTCAACTTCAAGAATTAAGAACTAAAACAAATCTGATTACTTAAATTATTACTGTTTCAAAAATTGAAAATAGACTAAATTAATATGCATCATATTTTTTTTAACCATCTTTATAATATTTTATATAAAATTCATATTATTATAAGTTTATTATATAGCTTAAAAATCATTTTGCGACATGGTCTCACTATTAATATTCAAAAAAAAAAAAAAATCATTTTTGCATAGATGTGATAACTTAGTAAAGTGATTAAGTTGTTACATCCCAAGTGGCAAGTAAAACTCACTGATAGCGAAATTTCAAATATTCTGCTTATATGACAGTTATTGTTTTTTAACTAGGGTATTTGACATGGCTGAAAAATCTTTCATACTATGTAGCATGCCATTTACCAAAGTTCGTACTAGGATGCTACCCTGGTATGCCATTAATCCATATAACAAAAATACTTGAGTATAATTAGTTAATTCTCCTATACTATTGATACAATTATATATAGTATATATATATAATTAAAAATTTATTCTTAAACGATTTTTATATTTTAGAAAATGTAGATATAGTTAAAATAATATACAATGAATTTATTAGCTTGCTTGCAATGAATTTATCAGCTTGCTTGCTTTATTTTATTAATCAGCTTAATAAATTTGTAGCAAATTTGCCTGCAAATTTTGAAACTACTTGCGAAAAGCCTTTAATCCAATAATACTTATAATTATTTCTAACAATAACTCATCTTTATTTTTCTTTTAGCATAATAAAATTATCATGCATTTTATATTAAAATTGATAATCAATTTAAAGTTCTAACATCCATAACCCAATTAGATTATTTTAATTTTTTTTTTTTTTTATTAACTAGCCTCTTTGGCATAGGTATTTTTATTTAAGTATAATGGGCAGGGAGCTCACATAAGTAGAACTCCAATTATATTAGAGAGTACAACTAGCCACACATGCGTCTTTTAAGCATTTATTTAAGTAGTTCGTGTATAGATAGCCACTATAGGTTCTACACTAGCTGCTATACCTATAATCCAACTAGGGGATTACTTATTTAAACCCTCTGTAATGTACACTACCCCCTTGTATTACCAGAACATCTCTGTTACATTCGTCAGTTAAGAGTTCTGAATGCATATCATAGCCTTAGGACTAATTTATCCTCAAGGCATCGTTGTTAGAGCTTTCTATATCCACAATCTGATTAACCTAGACTTTCGATAACTTACGTCAAGTCCGAGAATGAGTACTTGTGAGCTGAAGCCACTACTATTATCTACTTCTGCACTTTTAAAGTTCATCTAAACCCCAGCACCCACTTTATGGACCCTCTACCATTTCTTCGGTCCCCAAACTTCCAATCCAGATAGTCCAGAAGGGTGAACTTCTTCCCTGATACCACGGTGGCCTAGTTGATATAGTGCCTTGCCAAACACCTCAGTCCCATCCAGTTTCCGGTTTTCTGGTTGATGATCCTTTATGTAGTATCATCAAAAGTCTATGCTACCTCTCTACTTGGGGCTTGCCAAGCGGGCTCCTATGTGCCTTCGTCCCAATACCTGGTTTTACTCAGCTGCTTCACTTAGATTTCATATAACTCATACATTACACTAATGTTCCACAGCCTCCCAGTAAGCTCTGATGCGATCAAGTTTACAGATCTCACCAATTTAATAGATTACACACAGTCTGCTGTAATATATTCTGTAAAATTTGAATTTTGTCACCAGTAGGATTCGAACTCTTGTCCTGCTGCTTGAGAGTGCGACAACTTACCAACTTCACTAAATCACTACACCCTAATTAAATCATTTTAATATAACACTTTAACAGGA